CCGGCAGGAAGTGGACAGGAGATTAATTTACAAAGATTCAAGAACCTATCAAATATTCAACTCATAGCCAGAAGAGTTGGTTTTCATTATGAAATTGAACAGAACTAAGTCCTTTTCCCAGTTGAAAAAAAAAACCACAAAAAAACTCAAGTCAATGTAAAACTACAGTTCTGACAGGACCATCTTTCTAGACCTTAATAAAAAGCCCCCAACTATGAAAGAAAATTAAAATTAAATATATATTTTTAAAATGGTACTTCCTAAAGTTTGAATTTTCAACAGATAATCATTAGTATTATGATATTAGTAATACCAATACTATGTTGTGTGCTTATGTAACTCAAAATTACAGAATTTATTAAAATCTCAGAACATTTCAAATTTCATTCTTTCTTTTCCAGTTGAATTGGTCACATTCGGCTTAGCTCACATAGCTCATTATCAGTCTAGCAGCTCCTGTCAGCATTTGAATTGTGAATCCTACAGTAAGTAGCCTTTCCAGTTTTTGGTATCTTGAGTCTGTATTACTTCATGTTTCTGATTGTGATCATGATGGCTGCAGCTAATTTGGTAATCTTCCTGTTTCCTGATGCCCATCTACGATGTTCGATTTTATCTTTCACTCCTTGCCATGCAATAGAGGAATAGCTGCATCACATGCTTGGGCAATGAGTCACCTGATGCCATTTTGAGTGACAGTTTCCTGGAGTCAAGCGATCTCCATGTCACTTCCCTCAATGAGAGCTGGACTCTGATTTCTGCCTTGATCACACTCAGGAACAAGATGATGGACCTACATGCATGACCACAGAGCGAGAATCTGAGGAAGCCACCTCCTAGACCCGGAGTAGCTATGTAGTCTTCGTGTACTTTTTGGTTAAACATAATCAATGTTATCTTGGTATGGGGTGTTTGTCATTGCCATTGGGTTAGACCATTATCTGCACACTCAAGGTATTAGGATTTTTAACTTTCGAATTTTGAAATGGCTTAAAGGGGAACAATGTAGTCACAGTGATACAGCGACCCAGCTTCTCACGGCCATCAAGTCCACGCTGACTCGTGCGTGGTGCACCCACAGGACACAGCAGAACTGCTCCTGTGTGTTTCTGAGAGGGTAAGCCTTCGTGGGAGCAGAATGCCTCATGTTTCTCATGCCCACATGACTTAGAGAGAAATTGGAAAAATACTAAGAGCAGAACACAGTTTCTTAGCAAACAGGGAGGCATAGGAAGAAGGGGCTGATTTCGAGCTCTCTCTAAGTGATGTATGTGTGTGTGACTCCTGCCCAAGTTCCACTTGACACTCCCAGAATAAGGGTATCTTTCAAGCAAGGAGAGATATGTATTGTTTAACTGACACATATAAGGGGGGACCCCCCCCCACAAACAGGGAAAAAGCTCTACTGGGCAGAACCTTCTTAATATATATTTTTACCACTTGGCAAGCACCAAGCAACTCACTCTGAATTAGTGCATCCAGTGAATTCAAAGTGAAATCGAAGATAAAGATGATACCCACTTTTTTTTTTTTTTTTGATGTCAGGGGGATAGTGCATTTGAAGTTCCTTCCACTTGGTCAGACTGTTAATCAAGCTTTCGATTTAGATATTCTGAAAAGATAACAGTATGAACAAAAAAGGCCTGATTTGTGGCAGATTGGGGACTGCTTTTGCCACCATGACAAGGCACCTGCTCACGCAGCCATCTTAGTGCACCCGCTTTTGGCAAAAGACAGAATGCCTCTCTTGCCGCATGCACCTTACTCACCTGACCTCACTCTATGCAACTTCTTTTTGTTTCCTCCAATGAAGAGGGACATGGAAGGACAGTGATTTGACAATGTAGAAGATGTGAAGAAAAAAGGTGGGAGGTCCTGTCAGCCATCCAAAAAGGTGAGTTTGAAAAATGTTTCCAAGCATGGAATGGCAGATTTGATAAATGCATTAGGTGTAATGAAAAATACATTGAAGGTGAGAAGGTTGTTTTGTAAAAAAAATTTAAATACATAGCTTTGAAAAAAATTCAGTTTTTTGGGCGGTACCTACTTGTATTTAGCATCCACCTGGTGCCAGGCCCTATGCTAATTAGTGTTAGGATACTGGTTCTGAATCTTGGCTACACATCCGCTTCATCTTGGGATTTTAAATAAAGACTGATGCTCTGGCCCTACTTCAGACCAACTCAACACAAGTATCTGAAAGTGGTACCCAGTCCCTCATCACAGCTTCCCAGGTAATTCAATAGGCAATCATGGCTGAGAACCTGTGTCAGAAAGACAATATAATGGAACTTACATTACAATGGATGGAAGATGCATAATGATCAGAAAAGCATGTGACTACAGAGTTAAAAGTTGTGCAAATATTTTTGTTAAGAAATGTGTGAGGGTAGGTAACAAGGTGACAACTTAATTTGAGAAACCTTGGACCCCAAGCTTAAAACCAAACTTACTGCCATCTCATTGATTCTGACTCAGTGACCCTAGGGGACAGGGTGGAACTGCTCCTGTGGGTTTCTGTGCCTGCAAATCTACAGAAAAATAGGAAACCTTATTCGTCTCTTTTGGAGCTGCTGGTGGTTTTGAAGTGCTGATCTCACCCCAACACTTAACCCACTATACCACTAGGGCTCAAAAGCTCGATACTGAAGTGAGATATGAAGGTTAAGTAGGAGGTGACTAAGTGAAAGGACTTGATGAATGGAGAGAAAAGAATTTAAGGCTGTGGGGAAGCAAATATAAACCCCCATAGACAGAGAGAACATTTCTAGTAACTCATTCAGTTGGAGCAAGCAGCTTCCATGCTGATCCACGTGGATATGTTAATGACCAATGCATCACTGTCTTTCTATAACAAGAAACACTGAGACACTGAGCACAGTCGTGATCTTTTGTTATTTCTGTTGAGCTCCATCTAGAATTCGTAACACAGCAGTCCTTTGAGGTCAGAGAGAAAGGAGTAAAAGCTGCCCCTGGGTTGGTGGGAGAGGAATTTCACGATGTATTAAGGTACGTTTATGTTAATGACAATAAACAGATTTTTAAAAGCCGCTGCTGATCTCTCTGCATTTATCTCACCTATTGCCTTGACTAGATGCCAACTCATGGTTGTCCATATGTTCAAACAAGGAGTAAGGGTGGGAGAGGTTTTCAGAACAAGTAGTTAATAAGTTTAATTTGTACACACATTTGCTACGTCCCAGGATCTGGAGTTCTTTGAACATATATTTAATATTTTGAAAATTCTGAAAATGAGTTGTTATTGATATGGGAGGTCCTTTGAGACTCTAAGAAGTTCTGGACATAAGAAATGCCCAAATAATTTCCAATTACAATACCAATGCTTCTTTTCCTAAAGTAAATCTAATCCTGTATGGAGACACTCCCTCCAGTGAGCTGTGCAGTTTAGTGTGGGTATGTCTCCCGGGAAACTGTTGCGCTTAGGCGGACTCCCGGGTACTCAGGAGTGGAACGCTAGAAATCCCCTACAGTGTGTCCAAGGCGATAACTCTTTAAGAAATCCCACATCTTTCCCCACAGAGGGCCAATATTTCCATTTGCAGCTGAGCACTTTAGTCACAGTGCCATCAGGGCTTCCCATCAGGGCAACCCCTGGCTGACAACGGGAGGGGAGGTTAGATGACACTCCAGTGCAGTTTACACACTCTAAAACAAAACAAAACCCAAACTCACTGCCATCAAGTGGATTTCAATTCATAGCAACCTTGTAGGGCAGACAGGGTGGAATGAACTCCAAGACGGTAAATGTTTGCGGGAGGAGTCTTTTCTCCTCTACTCTCTCATGGAATCCATATCTTCAGATGAGGCTTTGGCTTCCCTCAAGTATTGATAGCCTCGGAAACCCAAAGGGGCCAGGTCTACTCTGTCCTGTACAGTCGCTGTAAGTTGGAATCTGTTCCATGGCAGTAGGTTTGGTTTTTAAATTTAGTCATTCAAAGGGACAGAGGTTAAAAAATTAAAACAAGAACAAAACGAATTTAGGAAGTCATCCTGAAGTTCAGTTTTACAAGGAAAAGAAGTTGTCTAGGTTCCCGCAGGAGATGAGGTTTTTGTGCAGCCGATAATAAAACGCACCCAGGCCACTGTCAACAACCCCGCTGGCATCGAGAAGCAGGCTACTTACCTGGCTGGGGTGGACCCTGCCGCCTCAGCCACCGTCGCCTCCAAGGTCTCTCATCAGGATCTGTTGAACGGTTGCCTGGGAAACCCCAGGCAGGGACAGTGACGCCTACCGGGCACCGTACTGATAGGCGGGGCGCTGTCTCGGGGGCAGTGCCTCAGAGGGCCGGTGATTAGGGGAGGGGCCTCCAGGGGCGGTGTCTCAGGGGGCGTGGCCTTAGGGAGGTTATGCCTAGGACGGGGCGGGGCCTCGGCCAGCGTCTGGGGGCGGGGCTAGGTGCGGTGCCTAAATCCGTACCCTTTCTCCTATTGTACACTTGAAAACTCATTTTCAACATTTGCAGATTATTAAATATGTGGCCAAGTAAAAAAATTTAAAGCCCTAGGTGAGTTATTTTTTTTTTAATTCCATACACCACACAGCTTCTGTGTAATATGTATGTTTCGGGTTAATTCTGGTCAGATCAAAGGTAAAAAACACCGACACTCAGGGAAGGACAATCATTTTGTTTCCAGAGAAACAGGACTGAAGTAAACTGGGGAAATGACAGACTTGAGGACAGATGTATCCTGCAACTCGGAGAACCCACTTCCAAATCTCCTCTCTTGTCCAAAGGACTCAATCCCAAATCTCGCAGAGAATCCGAGAACCCAGCGAGTCTCCCCCCGCGCCCCGCCCACTTTTCCCCTTGCCCTCATCATCGATGGCTCCCTTTGCTTCTCGTCTCGGCAGCGCGCAACCTCCTGGAGCCTCCACCGTCCTCTCTATGGTACAGCATCCAGTCCCGCCCCCTGCTGGTCTGGGGCCGCTCTGGACTGCAGGCGGGTCTCAGGGACCCGGAAATACCTGAGCCGTCGCTGGGCCGCTACAGCTGTCGTGGTCAGGTGCTGCTTTCCCCGGTTGGACGTGGTGTCCACGGTCTGAAGTGTCCTCTCCAGGTTTCCTGTAGCCGACTGGCGGCTGCAGCAACCTGAGCCGCAGACTGTGCCTCGCTGCGGGGCCGCCGATCGCTCGGGGCCATGCCCTCGGCTGCTGCACCCATCATCAGCTCCGTCCAGAAGCTGGTGCTGTACGAGACCAGAGCTGTGAGTACTAGGCGCTGCCCGGCGCGGCCCGGCGCTGGCCGGGTTTAGCCGGCTGGTGGGTGTTGGGCGGAGGGCAGAAGTCAACCCCCCTCGTTCCCGATTTCCAGCCATGGGGTAAGCTAACCTTTCTGGGCTGAGCTTGGAGGGTCTTCCTACTCTTGTGTGCACGTAGAGACCAGCTTTGATCGCACATTTACTAGCCACAGCCGAGCACACTGGAAACAGGTGCTTGGTCCTTCAAGAGATTCTGGACGCGTTAGGATTCTTCACAGCCTTCAAAAAAGTCTATTGCTATTCCAGAGTTACCCTAGAGGTAGAGGCGTGAACAAAGTTTCTTGACCCGTGATCTGTAACTTTCCTGTTTTTCTATTTCACGACATACCAGAACTGATGAAGTTAAGTGCATTTTTATTGCTGAAAAGTTTAGATCTCTTTAATGTCCTATTTGAAAGAAAAGAATACCTTTTTTTTGGTTTAAGAACACCCAGTCAGGACAAAACGACTTTCCTTTTCCCTTGACGTGTCCCCCCCACAAAAAAAAAAAAAACCCAACATTTTATGTTGTAATCATATTGCATCGAATGGCTGCATAACTAGTCGCAGTAGAATAAGCAGATCCATTTTTATGTATATTGGTGACTAGTGCAAAAATTGAAGGCCTTCGTGTTGGGCTGCTAACCACAAGATCCTTAGTACAAAATTGCTAACTGCTCCAAGGGGGAAAGACGAGGCTTTCTGCTCCTGTGAAGTCACAGCCTTAGAAACCCACAGGGGCAGTGCAACTCTGCCCTTCAGAATCACTGTGAGTCGGAATCGAATCGGTGACAGTCACCTGAGTTTTCTACTCCCATTAGGAATTACAGTCTTGGAACCTAACAGGAACAATTCTTTTTTTTTTTTAA